TTCTGTCGGGGCGACGCAGTGACAACGCCCGTAGGTAGTTTGTTAGCATACTTACATGAGTGGGAAAAAATCACACAAAATGATCACATTCTAGCTGTTATAAAAGAATGGTATAAGATACCAATGCAAACTACTCCGGTAAGTACGTTTTAAGACAACAATAAATCCGCTAAGGATAACACTGTTTATGTTACACAGGAAATTTATTCCAACTTCGTTTCAAGTACGAGGACGCACAAGTAGCCAGAAGTACATTTGCCGAGGGCGATTTTTTATTTAGTTTCGACCTCAACTCGGCCTATCATCATATCATGATTTATCCGCCACATCGCACATTTATGGGCTTTTGTTGGCAAGGTAAGTGTTATGTATTCAATGTATTGCCATTTGGTATCGCTACAGCAGGACATATTTTCACAAAAATATCTAAAGAAGTGGTTAAACACTGGCGAACGAAACGACTTAGCATCCTTATGTATTTGGACGACGGAATAGGGGGAGGTAAGTCTGTGACTGTATTACAAATCAGTCATCAGGTTAGGTCCGATCTTACAAAGCTGGGATTTTTATTAGCCGAGGAAATATGTACTTGGGTACCTGTGCAGAGACTGCAGTGGTTAGATTTCATATGGGATACAAAGGAAAACAGGTACCATGTAACACCTGAGCGCATTCAAAAGGTCACAGAGTACTTTGAGAACATTAAGGCTCAGTTGAACGCAGGTAGACGTATAATCAGTGTCCGGTTTTTGGCTTACGTTGTTGGACAGTTGATTTCTACTCAGGCTGCCTTGGGGGATAACGTGCGCTTTCATACGTGCAGTATGTACAGGTGTGTTTTGGAAAAAAATGTCGTGGAATTCACCAGCAGTAGTGACAAGGGAGGCTGAAAACGAGATCGATTTTTGGCGGGAAAACATTCAAATGCTGAACGAAGCGGGTTCAAAAATAAGTCATTTGACGGGCACAACGTCCGACATGACGTTGTTTACTGAAGCTTCATGTGAAGGTTATGGTGGTTATTTAACTACCAATGAGGGTCACCGTATAGGTTGCTAGGATATGTTCGGGACATGGAGTCATATAGAAAAGTATGCCAGCTCCACTTATAGAGAACTAGAAGCGGTTAACAGAGTTGTCGAACATAATTTACCGCTACTGACAGGTAAGTCGGTAGAATTAATCACAGATAACAAAAACGTACAAACAATTCTCACAATAGGTAGTCGGAAAGATCATCTGCACAAAATCGCCAACTACATTGTAAGTAAGTACATGCCATTTGGCTTCTATAGACATGAGTCCTAAGTGGATCCCAAGGAAAGAAAACGGCATCGCTGATAATCTAAGTCGTCAAAGCAACTGCGACGATTGGGGTGTTCACGCATGGGTTTTTAAAAAGATGTCATTTATATTTGGAGAATTCACTGTTCATTGTTTTGCATGCGATTATAACAGAAAGTGTGTGTGGTGTTTTTTTCAAGATTTTGGTGTCCTGGAACATCAGGAATAAACGCATTTGATTTTAAATGGGGTTCAGAGTTCAGCTGGTTAGTTCCCCCACCAGGTCTAATATCCAGGACGATTCGGAAAATAGAATCAGAAAAGGCAAAGGGGATATTGATAATTCCGGAATGGAAATCGGCAGCATATTGGCCTATAGTAGAACAATGCTGTATCAGTGGTGTTTTCAACCACAAAATATTTTTCAAAGAGGAAGGTTTCACTCATAAAGGAAGAGGTAAACACGGTATATTTGGCAGAGTGTCGCAAAAATTCAGATTCATAGCCCTAATTTTCTCCAGGCCTAGATCTACGGACTAATGTGACAGCTGCCTTAGCTAGAAGTGGGGTGACGAGGGACAGTGCTTTGTGTAACTAATCCGGAAGGATGGCGCATTTCCTACTACAATCGAAAAGTGAGAATACAGTCAAGGCATATTACTACAGCTTCAAGAGGTGGGAATCTTTTATCAAAGGACATGGTTTAAATTCCTTACCGGCAAAGCCCATCCACGTAGCGTTATACATCATACATTTACTGGACAATAGCTTCTCGTTTCACTCTGCTATCTATGGGATCAGATGGCTCACGAACTTAATAATTTTACCGATCCCACCAAAACCCCCCCAAAAAACAACAATTCTTTCCTGTCAAATTTACAAGAGTCGGCCCGCAGAATAGCAAGGCCTAGGGTTGGTAAAATAAAGACCCAGTGAGTGTGGAAATTCTTGTTAGATTGTGTGAGATGTTTAAAGATTCAAACGATCTAGTCGTTGTCAGAGATTTGTGTATGATATTATTAAGTTTCGCAGATTTCTTGAGATACGATGAAGTAAGTGCATTGCCCGGTGTCGATATCAAAATTCGCGACAACCATTTATTGTTATACATTGTCAAAAGCAAAACAGATCAATATAGAAACGGTAGCGAGGTTCTCACCATAGCATGCCCTTGCCAGATGTTTCAGAAATATATGGAGCTATCGGGAATCGCACTGGTAACGATTTTTACATTTTTCGCCCAATTTTCAGGTGAAAAGATGTTTGCAAAGTAGTTTACAAAAACAAACGTTCAAGTTACACCAGGGCAAGATAACCGATTATCGCCTGACTACGGTTTCTTGGGCCTAATCTAAATCTTGGATTACATTCTCCGAGATCGGATGGTGCTACTTCTGTGGCCGTTAATTCTAGCGTTAACGATTCTAGTTGTTGGAAGAGACACGGGCGCTGGAAGAGAGAAAGTAGCAAGGATGGCTACGTGGTGGATACGGTAGATAGAAGTTTAGATGTGTCCAGGTCCTGAAAGCTGTAGCTTTTATCATTTGGTCCCAGCTTAGCCAATCCGGAATTCCTCAATTGTTGCGTTTCTACTATACGCGGCAGCCTAGTCGGCAAATGAGGTATTTGCGTCGGTGTTGTTTTAATGGAGGTGGATAAATAGAGGAGTTTATACTTTTATTTTCCCGCGTTTCGGTAGTATAAGCCGGGAAAATGTTGTATAAACTGCTCGTGCTACTCGCTCCGTACGTGACATAGGTCACGTGATACAGGTAAGATCGGGTAGTGTAATATGGACACTATCATTATCTAGCTGCCAGCCGTACCGACAACATCACAATTAAAAACAACTTGCAATGCAATTGTATTCGTTTTATGCTCGTGTCTGTATTAACATAAGAATAAGTTTACATTCATGTTGTACATCATACTACAGTTGTTATTGGTAAACATTAGTTTTTCGGTATTTTGTCCATCCTAGATCAGTCCACGGTTCTCAAGCGAAAAGCAGTTTTCAATTACTCTTTGTATTCATTAACAACTTAGCATATATTATTCACACCAAACTGATAATTCTCGTTCCGAAAATGTGATGTCATTAGTCATGCATTCAGTTTTACATCATAGATTTTTACTATTTGTATTGGTTTTACGTTGTTTACTAATGTTTAGACGTCATATATATAACCTTTCAAGTTTGATAGCTGTTATTGGTTTCTTAGTTATATACAGATTGGACATGTGTGAGTTATCTGGTGATGCGCCGAAATAAAATGTTATTCGACTAAACTCATAACATTCTCGACTGTGTATCCTAATTGATCAGAACTATTCGCAACATTTTGGTGTCCGTTGTCATTATTTCTGTCTGTGCGTCAACCCTGGACAAGAGTATTCGTTTCAAGGTGTCAGACATTTGACCACAGTATAACTGTTGTAAAGTATATCCTTGAATTAGAATATTACTTTCCTAGAGCCTTTCCTTGGTTTAGAATATTCTTCTAATGTTTAACGAAATATAACAGATCACATCCTTTTCTCTCAGTGTCGCCTTCCATTGTCTTATACTTGCTCCACGTTTCTATGTCGTTGAATATGCGGGACCTAGTATATATACATCAAACCAACTTCCGTTTGGTCAACCTGTGCGCTCTTTGCACGACCACCGACGACTTCTTAGTATATCAGGAGTTATATTATGTGATGAAATGCTTCATTATGTTTATTGATGACCTAAACGTCATGAATGACACATATTTTGTAATATTTAAGTGTCGTCGGAGTAAGAATCTTATTTAACATGTCAGATACTAAAAATCGACATTCTTGATGTGTGTAATATTGTTACATGACATACAGTATATGTATATGTGAAACTACTTAATACGGCCTGCTTACTTGTACTCAGATATACTGCACAAATGACATGATTGAATGATATGTTTTTTATCTAACAATAACAAACTCTCCTGCATCAAAATAAGTTTCTGCAGTTCACTGATGTGTGTAAATCTATAAATCATGCATATACTCATGGTTCATTATCAGAATTTTAAAACCAGGGAATTATAATAAGTATTCAAAAGGGCCCAAAGACATAAGATTTATAAAAAGGTGGTACATTGATCCTTAAATGTATCTGTTGAGGTATAGACAAATCCGGTGACCCCTCTGTGTCATATTGGACACGTACCGTAGAACAAGAAGATAAAACACGACCTGGGTAAGAGTACAACACCTCGGGATGTGATATTGAAGCCTAACATAACACCATTAAAATTTCAAAATATGTCATAACACTTGTATGTTATGTAATAGTATTCCGTCTTTGCGTATTGCAGAGTTATCTTCTCTTGAGAGCAGGTATTGATTGTTACGTCATTTGTTTGTGAGAGTAACGTCATCAATTTTTGAGAAAGCGACGTAATTTTCTCACACGAACCAATGACGTACCAATCAATACCTGCTCTCAAGAGAAGATAACTCTGCAATACGCAAAGACGGAATATTAAATGCACAGGAGGGAAAACGCATAAACAAGTACATTGTATAATAATGCTTTAAAATAGCTTACATTTAAAAATTTTAAATTACCTCGTGTATAGAAAATGTATTTTGATCTGATGTCTATTGACTAATGTGATCGTTCATATATTCAGATAACTACATGAACTTTGAAAAAAACCCATAAAATAATAAAACTAAAATTACAAAGCCTATTACATTTGTATCACATTTATTTCTGATGCAATGCCATTTCATTATCTGCATATAGGTAAAAAGAAAATAGAACAATACATGCCAAAATATTTTCATTCAGCGCCAAGTACCGAACAAAGCGTACAAAATGTTACCATTTCGATATCTGTATTACATATTTATACCGTTTCCTGAAATATATCGATGACTATAACAATTTTCTGTGTCACGTATATGAAATGATTAATGATTCAATAATATAATGCTGAGACGACATCATAAATGTGCCGTATACAATAATGATGCTACAGCTGGGACGACTAAAAATGTTAAGCCTTGATGCCTGAATTTCAGACATCAAGAATGACATTCAAAGCAACTTTTTAAAAACAAAATTTACAAAAAACATCTTCATCTTTTGATAAAAGGGGTATTGAAATCAATCCATTTCATATAAAATTCATGAAACTTGCCACAAATTATCACTTTACTTCGCCAAATGCTGGCTTAAATCTCGTTTTATAGATTTCATATGAACGATTCAGTATAAGCATGTTTACTTCTTTTTCATTAAAAGGTTTGGTTCCTATCTGACTGATTACAAAACACGTGTAAACCTTCAAATGCGAAAGATGAAAGAATATTTGGCTTTATATACTACCATAAATTGCCTTGTGAGTTAAATTTCGGGAGAACTCTTTCATAACATGGTAATCACAATTAAAGGGAGGCAACTGCGCATGCTAGTTAATTCCAAAAGGAGATAAAGTGTTGACTAGGTTGGGTGTAAAGCCGCCTTAGTCGGTCTTCCGTGCTTTGGTACCCTTCAGGCGTCCCTCTCTTTGGAACCAAGAACATTGCAATTGATTTCCCAGACATCGTAGGATCTCCTGCGCTCCCCTAATTTGTTTCCCGAATTCTGGAACACTTAAATTAATACCGCGGACTCCGGAACCCCCCAATTGATCTTCCTGACTACGGAACACTTTAGTTGATCCCTCGGACTCCGGAACCCTCAGAGGATTTCTCGGACTCCAGCAGCCCTCAGTTGTAACATTATGTCAAACAGGTAATCGTAAGATTCGCATCTACAAACAAAATTTTTGTGACTTAAACATAATTCATTGTACGAGTATTTTGTTTCTATTGTTCATATTACAATTTATTTGAGATTGTACCAAATTAGAATCAGAGTGTCTCGTCATTCAGATGTTCACTTACACTATACACCATATATATTTCTACTCGTTTATACAATACTATAGTCTGTGGTTTTCTGCGTTTACCATTTTCCTGCATATCTATTCAGTTTCTACGAATTGGCTGTTTTATAACTTACTAAGATAATTTTCTTCTCGCACGGGGATTTCGTTTAATGTTATTCAGTCATCTTCTTTTGTCGATCAGATGTTAAAATATTAAACCGAAGTTATAATAAAATCCAAGATCATTTAAAATTAAAAGAATATAGAAGATAAAAAGGGTTTTTGCTGTTATATCATACATTAGTTTCGTTTGTTCCCACGTTTGTCCCCAAGCATAGATCCCGTGACCGCGGACTAGGACTGCGCATGTGTCTGGGTAGTCATTCATAGCTTTCACCATTCCATCCTGTTAGTAAAACAACGATATCTTTACTCAGCTAAGTAAAACGTGACACCACATACATAGTGTGATAATAATCGTGATTCTGCATATGTCAGTTATCAATCTTACAACAGCGAAAAATTATTAAACGATGATATTATCATTGTGACTTTTGAGGTGGTTAAAATGTATATTTGCAAATGAACAGTGTATCTGTTTTATTATAGAGTAAGATCGATGTATTTCCAACGAGGATGTTGGAGCTACTTAAGAACATTAGTTAAATATGTATTAAAATATCATATTTTTCAACGAAGTCATATCCACCATGGGGTATCCCCAAAACTGCTGCTTATAAAGCAGAGAAGTTGTCCCCACCTACTGTGGTCTGTTCATGTTGTTACTAATGTTTATAACTTTCTCCGACATTACTGAGAACAATTTCCAAATGTCTAAGTGTCTAATTGCCCACAAACGTAAACTATGTTTGTCTGAATAAAGAGGAAATGACATTTCTTTTTAACGGAAAAATAATATTTCGCTGCTTTTATGTGTTAGGACTCTCTAACTAAACTTCAGCAGATATATATTGGGAAAAGTGATAAAAAGAACACCCGAAACATAAAAGAAATATGACCTACACACACTGAATAACAAACTTTCACTAAAAAGCACACGCTTCCCATTTATTACACAATCATAAAGTGTATTCAATTGATTTTTGTTCAATTAAAATGAAACAAAAATATCAATAATGAAACAGCAATATACACAAAAGAAAAAAGATTTGTTCATAGGCACTTGCTTTGGTTTTAGTGATAATATTTCTCCTCGGTTTCTCAGACTTTTTAGTGAATAGACATGACTTAAATTTGAACTAAGTGTTGTTAGCGAACAAAATGGCAGATTGGTCGCAAGGGTATTTTTATAGTGTCTTTTAATAAATTGTTATTTTTGTTGTAAGTAAGAAATGTCATATGTTGCATAGGACATTTGAAGTATCGTTACTTTATTCCATTAAATTGTTAGGCTCCGGAAAGCCATCTGTATGTATATCGATGTCGATACGAGAAAAGAAATGCTGACGTATAAACCTCTTTATTGTCTAAAACATAGCCATGTGCGAAGTGTTTGTTGATTGTATTTGGTGAAGCTGTCTTCTATAGGATTGCTTTTCTGTTAAGGATGAATGGACCCTCGACACAAGGATATTTGGGCGCAAAACGTTTATCCTCCTAAGGTTGATTTATTTCGGCATCCTTAAAAGGGACAAAAAATCAGCTTCCAAAGAAAGATGAAGTCTTAAAACAACAAACGTCGCTATGTGTCCACACTTAAAACAAGATTGGAGTGTTTCAATTTGTTCATTTTTGGTTCGTTTGACAAGAAAATATCGTTATACATTTAGAAATGTTTTATGGGGTAAGCATACAGTACTTACAATAAGTCCATCTTCTGTGTGTGTGTTGTCAATGACAGGAATGACAACATCGTCTGTGAATTTGTGGTATCCTCCTGTGTAGGAGATGAACAGGGATGTAATGAGTGGTTTTTCAAACTAACATTTATTAAAGAAAAGCTTTTGAAATAACATTAATCGAATATTCTCATTCAGCTCCTTTTTTGTTAGATTTCTTTTGAATGATTAAATTGTCATATCTATTTGGAATGACGTAAAGAAATAACTACTTTTTTCTTCTTCCAGTTTTACCAAAATATGTCCATTGTATCATATGAAAGTCACACACCCATTTTAAATACAGTTAATCAATGTAAACTGGTGTGTTGAAAACATGTTTTGACATCATTCATTTTCTGGCAAGGATTTATAACCGAATCATCTGCATGATTGAATAAACTACTCCTCATTTATGGAGATAACATATTATTCACATTCAACCTTATCTAATATTAATGAAAAAAAGGTCTTTCAGCTGCAACCGACGGACAAATATATGTAAACTATCCAACTAACCTGTTGACCATTTACGAATTCCTTTGATCATTTGAAGGTTGGAGAGATGAACGGTGTTTTCTTTAGTTAGTAATGTTGCGAGAACTGCTGACTTCGAATGTAAATGGAAAACTGCTCCTGGAGCTGTTAAAAAGAATATATAATAATAATTTTGGTGTTACCGATACATCCTATAGACCTTATCAGAAACGCTGTAATACATATTAAGCAATTAAGTAAATGAAAAAGGAAATCAAAACAAATATTACTGCTATGATAACCAAATTTTACTTGATGTACAACGTCGACGCACATGTACAACATATACTACCCCAATACACAAGGACAAACTATATCATGTCAACTCACGCTAACAAAATATACCACAGCTTCAACAGACAGGACAAGCATACCACAGATTCGATACAATATACAGGGACAAAATATGCCACTCAGTCGAAACATAAAAGACAAGTCAAGATATAAAGACCCCAAAAACCGAATGGACACAAAAACAAAATATATCATCATCCCTGACAGAAACCGGATCGTCTCAGATACCTATCATAGTATGTTCAGATATTTTATATTTAAAAGTTAGGTTATGATGGCGACCATGAAATATCTTGCCCTTTCCCGTATAAAGACATGGCTAAATAGTTTATTGGCCAACACGACTTTGTTTTTATCTAGAGAAGTCTGTTACATTCATTGCTCCTTGGTATGGCTTTAAGTTGAAATTGCATGTTATGAACAATCAACGAACTAAACCAAAATAGTTTGTTTCAAGCTGAAAAAGTAATTGAGTACTAACAGCAGTATACATTATCAAACGTTTTATAGAGGCAAAACTAGATGTGTTTTCTCCGATATGTATACCAAAACTAGTTTAAGTGTTTATCCTCATACTTACATGTAGCTCTATTAAAAAAAAATCTATAACCTTTTTGCAAAATAAGAAGTTGTTCCAACATAAATTATACCTACCTACGTCAATTTTACTTATTTATTTAACCTTAAGCAAAAGCAACTGAAAATAAAAATGTTTGCCTTAAAACGAGGAGTGAACCATTTTTTATCGGGTAAGTAATATATGTTTGATATCTTATTATAATACACGTCTACAATGCCACTATGTACATGACATTGAATACATAATGTATATCTGTAGACGCATGATCATGATATTAAACTTACTCTTGAGTGTATTAATATTATATGGAACATGCCCAATGACATACCGTTGGTGTGCTATAATCATTAAAACATACCAGTTAGTGTACATATTTATAACCCAGATATAAATAGTCTAATGATTGTACTAACGGGACACATTTTTAATGCCTTTCAAGCTGATATTTGTCTTTTATCTTTTAGTTGTTTATGTCTTTTCCTTTTACGTGTTTTATCTACCTTTTATTGGCCCTTAAGACCTCTTCCGTGTTGATTGGCCGTTAATAACTCAATAAACAAATAACCTAACACTGGCAATAACTCACTTTTCTCCTTAGTGTTAAACATTTACCCAAATTGGGAAGGTATTGGGTTCTGTCCCCTATCTGGGACGTACCAAAGTCCTTAAAACGATAACTGTTATTCCATGCTAAACATTCAGTACTTGGGTTAATCTCAATAACTAATTTATTTGTTGTCAGTATAATGCTGGCGGGTAAATTTCCGTGCTTGGTGTCTGCGGCATGGTATTTCATTGAGGTATAATAAATCAACATATCGCCTTCGGCAGACATACACACATGCACGCAAATATATCACTTAAATTACCGTAGGTATAAATAAGACGCTAAACCCTATAAAAATCCAAATGATCATACTTTACTATGATATTAATCATACACTGTACCAGTAAGATGTATTGTTACGACATTAAACATACCCGTATGTCGTAACTATAAACATGCATTGTCGTAATCACCTTTGAGTCTATATATATTCAAAAAGACAGGGGAACACTGTGATTTCCTCAGGCCCTTGGTAGTCTGTGGAACGGATATGTCCTCTCCGTCGACCGTCTGGACAAACAGGTCTTCGGGCTATAATTATAACGGTAATCATTAACATGATCTATTTCTACATATGTATTAAACTTGATATACACAATGATTAGAATACTATGAATTCTATTTTATTAATAATACAAGCTGATAGATATGTAGGAATTAAAGGATGGTCCAGCGAAACTAGAACTAATATTGCGTACATGATCCGCTTTATTCATTCTTCTAGTAATAGTTCTCGTTTTTACCCCTTCACAGGACCGACCAACCGGAGTAAGCATATCTGCACAAAATCTATCCTTTTTGTATATTGAGTTGCCTCCTGTGCATGAGGCGGTTTGTCCTGCTGATAAGATCAATATAAGTTTCATTTAGCTTGAAATGTGTACCCCATAAAGTTTTTAATCTTCTGATTTCAATTTCTCACCTGAATACGTTCCTTTTGAACCCCCGAAGGTGTTATATAAACTTCCTGTCTGTAACCGCAAATACAATCAGTTAAACGTTGTCATACCTGCTTTAGTACATAGAATTAGCATAACGATTCATACAAGCTGAATATTTGATGAAAGGGACAACATCATGATATATTTTTGTCAATGATAAAAGCTTATTGGTAGACAATTGCAGTCGATCTTAAATTGGGATATTTATTTTGTTGGAGTTTATTTGATCATTTTACAATTCTATATCACTTTTGTCATTAATTGCAAAAATGAAGTATGTGTTACGGTATACGTGGTAACGTTTAAGATTATTTGTAATTCAGTACTGTCTACCAGATAATTTCCGCAACACTTCAACATTCGCCTTCGTAATGACAGCAAATGATTCATTCGAGCAAACATTAGAAAACAATATAACAAACATAGTAATTAAATTTGAAAAGCGAATTTAACACTAAGCTGTCACAGATCTACCAACGAACGTACAGCGCAAGTTTGACTAGCGGAAAGTCCGCATAAAATATAACATTTGACAAACGAATATTGAGGTACCCATATTTAATGCTGAGACTACCACCGGAACCCGGCATCCATCCTTGGCTGTAGTAGAGGCGACATAATTCTGGGATGATGTTCCTTGGATGATCCTGTATATTAGATAGACTTTCAATGAAAAATGTCGTACAGTAAGTAATGTTTCATTATCTATCACAAAAAAAAATCGTTGTTTTATTCATTTGCAGTTTGATCCATTGAATGTATATTGTTTGGATGAAAAATGCAATATATACATTTCACGTTCTAGTAAAGGATATTATCACATAACTGACCCATGTAACTACATTTTATGTCATACGGCCATGTCATAAATATGGTACTACACATGTAGTAATACATAAAGGTGCTGCGATTGGTCAAACCTTGGAAAGTTACTCTTTTGCCACTACAGGTACTACTTTTATTTAACTGCAGTTTTTTTTCTGACAAATTTTTATGTTTTTGCTATTAAATGAATTTAAAATGCTTGTTTTCTCAATATGATTTTCATTACATTCAAAACTGTTCATTATTGAAAGAAAACACTCTGCAATACGCGAAACGACAATACTACGATCGGAGTACTTTGGTTTTGAGTCAGCTGATAACAAATAATTGTGTTTGAAGGTTTTTTTTCAAATTATGAAAGTTATGAGATAAATAGAATCTTACAGTCGTGTCAGTAACATACTGAATTTATTAAACTCGTTAAATAAATTGATATGACACGAGCTTATAGGCTTGTGTCATATCAAATTATTGAGCTCGTTTAATAAATTCAATATGACATGGGCACTCGTGCAAGATCCTCTCTATAAGATATCGATATAAAGGATTGTCCATTTACTGATGTAACTAGCTAATATCATATATACTTATAATTTAAAGGTAACTTAGAGGAAATATGATAAACAATAAAACATCTGGCTGTAAAGGAAATGTTTGCTACTCACGCTAGGGAAATCAGGATTCATCGTCTAGCGTTCCCGTGAATACTGATATCAAGCTGTAATGGAAAGTATTGACAATTAGATATGCGTCGGCGGGGCATTGTTAGACCGCACGGCTGGGCCGACGGTGTATGCATATTATTTTTGGACATTTATGTGGTCACACAAATGTTGTATGCACGCATTGTTTCGACACAGTACATCAGAATTACGACTAGACGTAAATTAGCTTAGTACAAACCAGTATTTATAGACCCAGTATACCCATTCAATGGCGACTTCTGCTTGCATTTCTACAATACAAAGAGTATATCCCAGATGTTATTTTTAATTGCTACGCTTTCCACTTAAGTAATTAATCACAATAGATATGAATAGCTTTGATGAAAATATATCTACTGGAATTTGAATAAATGTATGCATAACAGGAATGCAGATCAACCCTTCGATAATGCAAACCCCACACTTTATAACGCATATCATGCGTGTGAATAAACAAACTCTGAAACAATATCGTGTTTAGATTACGCTTCATATTATGATGAACCATACATTACATTTGCACTTATATAAATATGTTTTAAGCCCAAGACGTACAACGCACCTTTGAAAAACACCAACCGTAAAAGTTAGCCTAAAACGATCTAAGTACTAGAAAAGTAGAGCCTTGTTATAATACATGTACGAGCCTCGTCTGTCAATCACCCTTTATATAATCACAGACGAGAATAGTACCTGTGGTCATCGCAAAACTTCGATGATCTAGTCATCTCCAAGTTCAGGAGATAATCCAGCCAGAATCTCCTTCATGTCACGTAGATAATCATGCAATCTTCATACCAAATAGATAAAATATCACATTAATATTCTTGTCCAGTAGATAACCCAGACAAGTTTGATCCCAGCCACTGTTTCCAGTATATAATCACGTTATATTCCTGCCCAATAGATAATCCTGTCATCTTTGCTTCCACCAGATAATCCAGTCACCTTCGTGTTCAGTAGATGATGTGCCACCTCTTCTTCCTGTGGATAATCCTGTCACCTTCGTGTCCAGTAGATATTGTGCCACCTCTTCTTCCTATGGATAATCCTGTCACTTTCGTGTCCAGTAGATATTGTGCCATCTCTTCTTCCTGTGGATAATCCTGTCACCTTCGTGTCCAGTAGATATTGTGCCACCTCCTCTTCCTGTGGATAATCCAGTCACATTCGTTTTCAGTAGATGATGTGCCACCTCTTCTTCCTGTGGATAATACTGTCACCTTCGTGTCCAGTAGATATTGTGCCATCTCTTCTTCCTGTGGATAATCCAGTCACCTTCGTGTTCAGTAGATGATGTTCCACCTCTTCTTCCTGTGGATAATCCTGTCACCTTCGTGTCCAGTAGAAATTGTGCCACCTCTTCTTCCTATGGATAATCCTGTCCCTTTCGTGTCCAGTAGATATTGTGCCATCTCTTCTTCCTGTGGATAATCCTGTCACCTTCGTGTCCAGTAGATATTGTGCCATCTCTTCTTCCTGTGGATAATCCAGTCACCTTCGTGTTCAGTAGATGATGTGCCTCCTCTTCTTCCTGTGGATAATCCTGTCCCCTTCGTGTACAGTAGATATTGTGCCACCTCCTCTTCCTGTGGATAATCCAGTCACATTCGTGTTCAGTAGATGATGTGCCACCTCTTCTTCCTGTGGATAATCCTGTCACTTTCGTGTCCAGTCGATATTGTGCCACCTCTTCTTCCTATGGACAATCCTGTCACTTTCGTGTCCAGTAGATATTGTGCCATCTCTTCTTCCTGTGGATAATCCTGTCACCTTCGTGTACAGTAGATATTGTGCCTCCTCTTCTTCCTGTGGATAATCTTGTCACTTTCGTGTCCAGTAGATATTGGGCCACCTCTTCTTCCTGTGGATAATCCTATCACCTTCGTGTACAGTAGATATTGTGCCTCCTCTTCTTCCTGTGGATAATCCTGTCACCTTCGTGTACAGTAGATATTGTGCCTCCTCTTCTTCCTGTGGATAATCTTGTCACTTTCGTGTCCAGTAGATATTGGGCCACCTCTTCTTCCTGTGGATAATCCTATCACCTTCGTGTACAGTAGATATTGTGCCTCCTCTTCTTCCTGTGGATAATCCTGTCCCCTTCGTGTCCAGTAGATATTGTGCCACCTCTTCTTCCTTTGGATAACCAAGTCACCTTCGTGTCCAGTAGATAATGTGCCACCTCTTCTTCCTGTGGATAATCCTATCACCTTCGTGTACAGTAGATATTGTGCCTCCTCTTCTTCCTGTGGATAATCTTGTCACTTTCGTGTCCAGTAGATATTGTACCACCTCTTCTTCCTATGGACAGTCCTGTCACTTTCGTGTCCAGTAGATATTGTGCCATCTCTTCTTCCTGTGGATAATCCTGTCGCCTTCGTGTCCAGTAGATATTGTGCCACCTCCTCTTCCTGTGGATAATCCAGTCACATTCGTGTTCAGTAGATGATGTGCCGCCTCTTCTTCCTGTGGATAATCCTGTCACCTTCGTGTACAGTAGATATTGTGCCTCCTCTTCTTCCTGTGGATAATCCTGTCACCTTCGTGTACAGTAGATATTGTGCCTCCTCTTCTTCCTGTGGATAATCCTGTCCCCTTCGTGTACAGTAGATATTGTGCCACCTCCTCTTCCTGTGGATAATCCTGTCACATTCGTGTCCAGTAGATATTGTGCCACCCCTTCTTCCTATGGACAGTCCTGTCACTTTCGTGTCCAGTAGATATTGTGCCATCTCTTCTTCCTGTGGATAATCCTGTCGCCTTCGTGTCCAGTAGATATTGTGCCACCTCCTCTTCCTGTGGATAATCCTGTCACTTTCATGTCCAGTCGATATTGTGCCACCTCTTCTTCCTATGGACAGTCCTGTCACTTTCGTGTCCAGTAGATAATGTGCCACCTCTTCTTCCTGTGGATAATCCAGTCACATTCGTGTCCCGTAGATATTGTGCCACCTCTTCTTCCTTTGGATAACCAAGTCACCTTCGTGTCCAGTAGATAATGTGCCACCTCTTCTTACAGTGGATAATCCAGTCACATTCGTGTCCAGTAGATATTGTGCCACCTCTTCTTCCTTTGGATAACCAAGTCACATTCGTGTCCAGTAGATTATGTGCCACCTCTTCTCCCTGTGGATAATACTACCAGCTTCGTGTCCAATAGATATTGTGCCACCTCTTCTTCCTGTGGATAATCCTGTCACCTTCGTGTCCAGTAGATATTGTGCCACCTCTTCTTCCTGTGGATAACAAAGTCACATTCGAGTCGAGTAGATGATGTGCCACCTCTTCTCCCTGTGGATAATCCTGCCACCTTCGTGTCCAGTAGATATTGTGCCACCTCTTCTTCCACCAGATAATCCAGTCACATTCGTGTCCAGTAGATATTGTGCCACCTCTTCTCCCTGTGGATAATCCTGCCACCTTCGTGTCCAGTAGATATTGTGCCACCTCTTCTTCCTGTGGATAACAAAGTCACATTCGTGTCCAGTAGATATTTTGCCAGCTCTTCTTCCTGTGGATAACAAAGTCACATTTGTGTCCAGTAGATGATGTGCCACCTCTTTTTCCAGTAGATAATCCTGTCACCTTCGTGTACAGTAGATATTGTGCCTCCTCTTCTTCCTGTGGATAATCCTGTCACCTTCGTGTCCAGTAGATATTGTGCCACCTCTTCTTCCTGTGGATAATCCTGTCACATTCGTGTCCAGTAGATATTGTGCCACCTTTTCTTCCTGTGGATAATCCTGCCACCTTCGTGTCCAGTAGATATTGTGCCACCTCTTCTTCCTGTGGATAATCCTGTCACCTTCGTGTCCAGGAGATATTGTGCCACTTCTTCTTCCTGTGGGTAATCCTGTCACCTTCGTGTCCAGTAGATATTGTGCCTCCTCTTCTTCCTGTGGATAATCCTGTCACCTTCGTGTCCAGGAGATATTGTGCCACTTCTTCTTCCTGTGGGTAATCCTGTCACCTTCGTGTCCAGTAGATATTGTGCCTCCTCTTCTTCCTGTGGATAATCCTGTCACCTTCCTGTCCAGTAGATATTGTGCCACCTCTTCTTCCTGTGTATAATCCTGTCACATTCGTGTCCAGTAGATATTGTGCCATCTCTTCTTCCTGTGGATAATCCTGTCAAATTCGTGTCCAGTAGATGATGTGCCACCTCTTCTTCCTGTGGATAATCCAGTCACATTCGTGTCCAGTAGATATTGTGCCACCTCTTCTTCCTGTGGATAACCAAGTCACATTCGTGTCCAGTAGATAATTTGCCACCTCTTTTTCCTGTAGATAACCAAGTCACATTCGTGTACAGTAGCTATTGTGCCACCTCGAGCTCTTCTTCCTATGGATAACCAAGTCACCTTTGTTTCCACTAGATATTCCAGTGCCTTCGTGTCAAGTCACTTTCATGTCTGGTATATAATCCAGTTACTTTTATCATAGACTTGCTCTATCTCGCTGCAGAGCGACTTATGGCGGCCCACTGCAGAATCGATTTTTTGTCAGTAGATAATCTATGCACTTCAACCCCAATGTATAATCCAGTCTTTTGCTCTCGGTAGATTATATACAGTGTTACTAGTAGAAAAACATGTCAAATCGATGTTCGTTAAAGTGATTCATGCATTTTGGTTCCAAGTAAAGTATCCAGTCATCTCTGAACTCGATAAATAATACAGACACTTTCATTTTCGGTGCATAATTCATGCACTTTTGCTGTAATATCTAGTCCAGACACCTGCGTAGATAATACCGTCGTCTTCTTTCTCATTCAATAATCTACTAGTCAACTTGTTCTTAGTAAATTATACAGCCAGCTTCACTCCCAGTAGAAGCACCTTCCGGCATTTGCGTTCCTTGTGGAAAACTGTGTAACCTTCGTTCTCAGTAGGTAGTTGAGCCACATTTTATTCACCATATCCAAAAGATATCTATTTTCGATCGTTTTCGGTAACACTTCTCTAGTGCACACTACACTGGAGGCATGTGTATAAATTATAAAATAGCTCGG